CCCTATCAATTTCCAGCAAAGTGATGATCTTTGACACTTGAAAAAGAGATTATCTAAGTCTTCACTCTCCTCACCACAGATTTCACATCTCAGCTCCCCATTCATCCCCTTCATTTCTAATTGTGTTTTGGTACTCAGGAATCCAAACCAAGCTTTCCAAATGAAATTCTTGATTTGTTTTTTATCTTCAACCTCTAAGTTTCGTTCTACGTAGCAGCCTTTCCCCTTCCAAGATTACTTTTTCCTCCTTTACCTTGTACCGTAGAGTTCAGCTTCATCAAGTGATCATACACAACTTTTACTAAAAATTCTCCTTTTCTACTCCAATGCCAAATCAATTTATCTCTGAGACCAGAATGACTCAGAGAAATTTTCAAGATTGCCTCTACAAGAAAAGGTGATAAAGTTTGATAATCAAGTTCCTTGTCCACCCATTCTCACTTTTTTTTTTTCTTTTTCATATTTTTTTTTTAATGAACTCACTCACTCTTTCAAATCTAGCTTTCTCTTGAAAAATGTGTGGAAGAGTAAAATTCAGGATAGAAGAAACCCAAAGAGAGTCCCAAACTTATATCCCATCCCCATTGCCCACTTGGTATCTAGCCTCTAATCTAAGGGATTTTCAAGACTCCAGCCAGCTCTTCCAAAGCCAAGAGTCTGAGCATTTTGGTTTAACATCTAATAGTTTCTCATTCCAGTAATATCTACCCTTCATTACCCTAGACACTAACAGATTAGGTTGAGTTAACAAACTCCACAGCTGTTTAACCAACATGACTTCATTAAACACTCTAAGATTCATAAAACCCAACCCTCCACAACTCTTGGTCTGAGCCACTTTATCCCACCCTGCCCAGTGAGTTCTCTTTCCTCCTGACTCAGTTTTACCCCACTAGAAATCAAAAACACTCACGCAAATATCCTTACAAACAACAACAACAACAGGAAGTCTAAAACATGACATAACATAATTTGGAAGGGCATCAAGAACAGTCTTAATCATGACTTCTTTGCCAGCTTCACTAAGAAAATTATTTTTACATCTACTAAGCCTCTGAGTCACTCTCTCACAAACAAAGTGAAAAATTTGATATTTTGACCTGCCTATCCCTATAGGGAGTTCCAGGTATTTGTAGGAGTCCACTTTAGTTATCCCATTTAAGACATTACAGATCTCAATGGCTTTATCAGAGAAGGTGTTTTTGGATAAAAGAATTGAAGATTTATCCATGTTAACAAACCAACCAGAAGTAAGGCTATACTTAAACAACAAAGACATGATAAGATGTGCATGATTAGCATTAGCCTTTCAAAAGAATAAAGTGTCATTAGCAAAGAAGGGATATGAGATCATAGGAGCATTCTTACCAATTTTAGTACCCTGAAGTGAGGAGTTTCTGCAAGCTTGATTAATAAATTAGAAAAATCTTGAGAGATGATTATGAACAAATAAGGAGACAGTGGGTCTTCTTGTCTAGTGCCTCTTGTACGCTAAACAAAACCAAGCACTTTTTTCGTTCATATTGGAAGAAAAAAGTAGAAGTGCAAACACATACCAAGATCCAAGAAATAAATTGAGCACAAAATCTTATCTTTTTGTAGATTTGAGAAAGAAAATCTCATTCCACCCTGTCATTCATGGCAATATCTAGTTAAATGGCCATATAACTATCCTTGCCCTTTCTTTTGTTAATTTAAATAATGCATGCATTTATTAGCAATTATAACATTGTCAAGAATCTGTCTACCAGGGACAAAGGTTGACTAGGCAGGAGAAACGCAATTATTCAGAACACTTTGAAGTCTATTAGCAATGATTTTAGTTATGTTTTTATAAATGACATTGCACATGCTGATTGGTCTGAAGTCAGCAACTTTGGATGGGTGTTTTTTCCTAGGAATGAGGGACAAAACTATATGGTTCAAATTTCTTGGCATTCTATTTTTAACAATGGGCCAAGCATATTGCGAAAAAACAGTATTCATTCCATCCTATCCAGAGGATTTAAGAGGATCCATTTTCATTAAGGCCTTTTCTATTTCAACATCACTAACATGCTTAATTAGACTCCTGTTTATATCATTAGTGATTGAAATTGGAATTCTAGAAAGATCACAACCCTTAAATATAGGATTAGAGGTTTGAAACAGCTCCTCAAAATATCTAGAAAGTCCAATCGTGATTTCATTTGCATTCCTACACCTTCTATCATCAGGCCTTAGGATATTATCTAGAGAGTTGGTTTTTATTCAATGATTCATACTAGCGTGGAAGAATTTTGTGTTTTTATCCCCTTCTTTAAGCCATTGAACTTAGATTTTTGTGTCCAGTACCCCCTCTTCATCTTTGTAAGCTTTGTGAAGTTTTTCTCTACACCTATTCCAGTCATTCCAATTTGTATCACCTCCCTCTTGATTTAGAAAATTCAGTCTATTATCAAGATCAACAATTTGCTTAGTAATTAGACTTAGTTCTTCTATTCCAGTCCAACAGGCCTTTTCTTACATTCTTAATCCTGCCTCGTATACTAGACAAAGTAGGACCATCAACCTTAAGGTTCCACAAATTATCCACTACCTCACTAAACCCCTCTTTCTCAATCCATCTAGTAACAAAGTAGAACCTAGCATGGGGAGCAATCAAAGTACAATCAACCTCCAAAATAATTGTACAGTGGTTAGAGGAACAAAAAAGAAACATGCATAACAAGAGCATTTTGATGAGTCAGGCTCCACTTAGGAGAGAAGAAAAATCTAGTCTCTCCTCAACACAATCTCTTCCTTTCCTATTATTGCACCGAGTAAAGGGATGCCTAAAGTTCTAGAATCCACCAAGTTCGAAGTACAATCCAGACTCCAAAAACTAGAGAAGCTAGTCTCCTCTCTATTTTTGCCTCCTTTTTATTTCTTGGTTTGACAGAATATCACTAGAGTCACTTCCTAGAAACCAAAGAT